GAGTTGGGGGGGGGGGCCTATGGTGAAATTTGGGGTGGCTGCAGCCCCCTCACAGCGCTGCTCCGACCTGCCCCAAGCCCAGCCCCTTCTGAGAAGAGCCTGGCATGGCCCTCACTCCAGCTTGCCTGCCCCGTGCAGATCCAGGGGGCACACAGCCCTCTATCCCTGTACTCTCCCACGGTACACACAGCAGCAAGAGCCGCTCCCTGCTGCCCCCAGATGAGTCGCAGATCTGTCCCGTGCCTCACCCTACACCAGTTTGGCAGCACCTGCTGCCTCCCTCCCTCACTGCTGTGGCCATTGATCTTCTGGTTTAAGTCAGGGGGGTCACTAACTATATTTCTCATTTTGAGACAACTGGGGATACTTGCAGATTAACACAAAAGTGTAACTGAAGTCAATGGGAGCTAGGTTTGACCTTTGACTTCAAGTTGTTTAAAAGTAAGAGTTCTAAAAAGTTATTCACTAGACCAGAGGACTTCAACCTTTAAGAAGTATACCCCTCCTAGACTGTACCCCTGAACGAGCACGAGGGGTGGCGCGGGACAGCGGGCCAATGGGGTGGGAGGGTGCTGGTGCTGAGCAGCAGCATGTTTCCTAAGTATCTCTGCTTCTCTGTGCCACCACTGCATACCCTGTGGGGCCTTCCCAAGTACCCCCAGGAGTATGCATACCCCCAGTTCACAACCCCTGCACTAGACATTTTGAACAAAACTGGGGGACACTGTCTTGTATTTACTTTAATTTCTATGCTTCACTTTCTCCATCTACAGAAGAGGCACAATACCATCACTTTCATCCCAGGAGCACTGTGAATGAAACAAATTCATTAAATGTTTACAAAGCACATACACTGTAGTGATGAGACTTTCACAAACCTCTGTGGTAGCCCCTAATTCTGTTCAATACAGCATCTGGATTACTTTTGGCATATAAGGTCCTATGTCCAATGACAGGAAATACTGAACAACAGTGAAACTCATCTAACCTATGCAAAGGGGCACAGACCCTATGGAAAAAAAGACATGTATGTGCTCCTATAGATAAAAGTGGCCTGCATACAAAATATACATAAGAGGGACTGAATTAACGTAGCCCTGGACATTCTTCATTCTTGTTTGAACACAACTTTCCCCACTTAATGTTCTATTAACAATGTCTTGCCCAGTCTATGAAGAGAAAGGACCTAATATTCAATTTAAAATGCTGCTATAGAGAATACTTTGATTAGGACAAGAGACAAAGATTTTTTGGGAACATTATCTTTATTGGACCAACTGTGTAGCTGGGATAAAGTTAGACAAGCTCTTGGCCATCACAGTGCCTTTCCTCAGGTTGATTTACAACCACATTTAAGAAATTTTACAGTGATGCAACCAGTAAGATGTCAAGTTTTCGTACACAAAATATGTACTCTGTTTTCAAGTCACAAATTGCAGGAACAGTCAGTAAATGAATGGATACCATATATGGCTGCCTCCTCAATACCCATATACATCTGAAAGTACGTCCTTCCCCTCCCCTCCCCACCACACACCTCAATTTTGAAATATCTTGGGGAGTGCAGCCACTTCTACTAGGAAATAAGCCAAAGAATCATTCAAACCGAGTTAAATGTCGGGCATGCAAGAGACACTATATGCTAAAGCAAATAGCAATCTATGATCACTAAGTTTGAAAGATGTAGGATATTTGTTGACTTCGCATGTTTCACTGTTACACATATTGACACTTATTCTAAACTGCACTTTTTAACCAGAGAACAAAGGAGAACTCAAAACTAGGATACAGGACTGAACAGTGAGGTTTAACATACCTGCTGTGTCGGCGATTTGGGTGTTGTCTTCCTGTTCTGTAACTTTTTCTCAATTCCTTTATGCAATCTGATATATCCACCCTCACTAACAGAACGCTGACGAAGTTTGCTTTTGTATGTATCATCTTGGTTTGAGACCATATTCTCAGGGTGAGGAGCTGGACTGTCTGGGGCTTTACATGGTCGGCCACGTTTTGGTTTAAGTATGTCCAGGGAGTCTTCTGACACAATTTCTACATTTGCTTCACTGCTCTCATTTTGACCAGCCCCATTTTCTGCCTGAGAGGGTATATCCCCGCCTTCCACAGCTGAGGGCTCAGACTGCATGACAGACACAATGTCATTTGGAATGCGCTCTTCCATTTCTAGTTTTATAGCATTTGCAGTAGTTTCACACTGCCCCAGAGGCTCTGAAAGACTAGCAGTTATAGTCTCAGTAGGTTCAACGGTCTGAGAGTCAGACTGTAGTGCCACTACTTCATCTTCTCCAGTACTGGGGGAAGCTCCATTTGTAGTTGCTACTTCTTCACTATTTGACATTTCTGTAGGTAAAGGCTGTTCAGCACTGTCCATAGGCTGAATCTCAACGTCATTCTGTTGTGTTAAGTTCTGCATAGACTCTACGGTGTGAATATCTCCCTTTTGGTACACTGTGATTTGTTTCTCTTCCATCTGTTTGTGCACATTTTCACAGATTTCCAAAACCTCTGACATAAAGAGATGTCGGGCTAGCAAGGCAACATCTGCCATGCTACAAAAGTCAAAAGTTAATTCTGAGGTATAAGCAAATTCCAATAAAGGGAGAAAGCTTGACTTGCAAAAGCCTGTATGGAATGATACAAGAAAGATCAGAGGAAACCTGGAAAAAAAGGACACAAAAATCCAATCTCCACTATATTATTCTGAAGTAATCCACTGGGAACACCTGTTCATGCCTGATTTGGATGGGTCTGAACTTTAGAGTACAGAAATATTTGCCAAGTATCTGATGCTCATTAATTAACACATGATTTTAAATCAGTACCACATATGTCCAGAAGTGTTTTTCCTATGCAGGAATCAGGGTTATATTCCACTGTCCATGCTAGGCAATTCAACAGACTAGACAATTTCAAAGCAAAACCTCTGGCATTAAAACTCTTAAACTTAGGAATATTTTTAATAAGTCAAATCAAATGCTTAATCATTCTGAACACAAAAGATCTAAATTCAATAAGCCTTATGTCCCATTTCCTATGTCTATTTTTAAGCTAAAGGCTATTTACCTGAAAGATCCACTACAGCTTCATGACTTGAGACAGCTCCCTTTTCAATGAAGAGCTCCCGGAAGTATTCACTGTTGGCTGCCAAGACAGATTTGTGTGCTTTGTACTCCTCTCCTTCAATCAATAGGGTAACATCACAAAACTGATTGGAAAGCCTCTGCTGGTTCAGTTGGTTCAAGACTGACAGACAATGTTTTGGAGAAGACTGCTTCACAAGGCCTTTACTGTCAACCTATCATAAATAAATCAGCATATTTAGGTTATACCTTCCTATTCATTCAAGCTGAAGCATAGAAACTTTTTCTGTAAAGAGACAAGATCAATTTATTGGAAGACAAAAATTTAAGACGTCTTTAGTGAGCAGTTTTAATTTGTAAATTCCTCTTCCTTTTAAAGAGTGATGTTGTAGCTGTGATGGCCCAGAAATGATGTAAAAGGCAAGGATTTCTTAGGATGATCTATATGCATAGTCAGTCCAATAAAAGATATCACCCTAAGAAATCCTTTCCTTTTCCTTTTGAAGTTATACACATATACATATGCATACACAAGATGTAAACTCAAAGGAGCAGGGAAAAAACCCCCATAAAAATAATATTTAAAAAATATGTCTTTAATACACATATTGACATACAGTATCATTTGAGGAGAAATAAAAATAAAGTAGAAAGAGTAAAAAAGGGAAAGACAAATACCTCTATAGCCAATTTGGTCTAATTTCTAAATGCTGCAATCTTATAGGAAAAGCTTTCTGGATACACATGCTAGTGATCTTCTACCAAGATATTTTATATAGACAACTACCTCAAGAAAAGCCATTTATAGAAGGCCAGGTCAAGACTCCTGGAGGATATGGTTGAATATGGATGCAATGTTTGCAATCATTTTTCATGAGTTCCCAGGAGTGTCAAATAGAGAAAAATTATTTTCCATCATAAATTAGGCTCAGTGGTAAGTTTCACAGTGAGTACACCAGCCTCCTGTATCCTGTATACTTGACCCATTTGCTGAAACTGAATATCCTGGCTTTACTTCACTAGTACAAGCAGTATCAATCAGAATTTGACTATGAAACAAATATCTTAATTCTTTAAATATGCAGCACTACTTACAAACACAAGCTCATGTTTGGATATTGGCTTCTTTTTCACAGGTTTTGGGGATGCAGCTGGGATTGATGCTGTGTTACTCAATTCATCATCTGTTCCATTACTGTCTTCATGAGATTTTGCATCTAATCCTAGTTCCTCCAGCATTTCAGAAGGATCTGTGAGGGATCTAGAACGATCTAGTTTTTCTTGGCATTTACTACATTCCTTAATGTAGTCTTTAACTTGTTTAAGAATACCTAAGGAAAACCAGCAATGAAAGTCTGATTAGTTTTCAGTCACTCATTTTACATTAAACAGGTGGTGCTTTACCTATGGCCCATAGGCCAGATATGGCCTGAACAGCTGTCATCCAGCCCATGGGGCTTCCCATAGGTCTGCAAATTCTGTGGTGGGAATACAATGGCAACATCAATTACTGTGACTGTTGGCAATTATCACTCCCACCATTCCCCTGCTATCAGATATATGGAATCATAGGGAGCCCCACTAACATACTGGAGCAAAGAATTAACATCTCTGATGCCACCTGTTAGCGGATACAAAAACAGCCATTGATGCAGCAGTGGCTGACCATGCTACTGCAATCGGCAAAAGAAGAGATGGCACTGTCCCATGCACTGCAGCTGCCCTGGGTGAGGAGCCCTGCAAGCCAGATGGCATGGCCCCACATGCCAGATCAGTCTGGCATGTGGGTTCTGTCTGCAGCCCAGCCATACACCACTCATCTGGCCTGCAGGACAGGATTTGGGCACTACTGCATGAAACAGCAGTGAAAGCATCTATATAATATTATACACTTACTGGAAAAGCTTTCTAGTTTTACCTGGTTCTCTCTTTCTTACTTAGGACATGACTATCATTATTATATCTCAGCTATTATACCCTAAAGTTTATTCTGGATAGAACTATTAGAAAATTATAAGGTTAAATGATCATCTCAAAAAATTGTGCATAGTATTTTACTCCAGACTTACACTTAGTTAACATTCAGTTCAAAAAGATCTCAAAGACCTTACAACTAGCACCACATAAAAAAACCCCTGCATTTGCATTCAGCCTCACTGAAGCTGATGGGACTTTAAGCCAGGTCCCTTTGGTGCACATATACATGGTACATGTATGCATGGTACATATAACTGTGCTGACTAGGATCTAAGTCATTCCCTATAGTTTGGGTCCAGGCTATTTAAGAGATCCCCATCTCTAGTACTTTAAACAGCTCAACTTGAAATTGTTTTATGGATCCCAAATGACAACCCCTTGATTTAAGAGGTCCTGGGCCTGGTAGCAAAGTGCACTCAATTTACAAGAACTTCAACACAAACTAATTTTCTTTTTGTGTACGTTGACCTTTGTGATAATTCAAAACCTAACAGTTTCAAGAAACTTGGAAAATACAGACTTTAGGCGGACTGGCAGCACTTCCAGAACATCAAATGTAGTAACACTGTCCACTTACACGTGTGAGAACAGGAAATACAGATTACAGTCAAACTCCAACCTAGTCCCACTTGAGCTGGGAACAGTGAAAATGAACTGTAAACATGGCTCACTCAGTCATTTCATAATAAGCATGCACATGAGAAACACTGAGCAAATATCCCATTTTTATGTGGTGTGCTGTGTCCCACACAATTGTAATCTGACATTAAACTCCCATAGTAACTGTTGCATTACAATAAGATCTGTTTTGATGGGAGAGGGGAGATTATAAATTCCTGGCATGAAACTGGTTTGTAATCTTAAAATCTGAATTTTCTCTTATCCATTGTTTAATACAGGTACACCCAAGCTATGCCAGTCAGTCAGTCTCAACTTTGTTAACGAAGATTTTGGGTAGCAAACTTCTATCGCTTTTGCAGAATTTGGGGGAAAGGGAGAGGATGGGGCAACCTGCAGGGGCAAAAGGGTAGGAAGGGAGTTTGCTTGGTTTAAAGGAAGAAGTCAGGGTGCATACCTTATGCTCTAACCAAATTAGAGATGCGTAAGCTGTCATGAGCCACAGCTCACTTCAAGACAAACTAGGGAAAAGACTCATGTCACTGGTCTTAGAACAACTTGTAATTTACACTCCCTCTGTGAGATTTACCTGTTTTCTTACCCCATCCCTTGGGGGTGAGAGAGGGAAAGGGTACCAACAGAGACCACCAGCCAAATGGAAAACAAAGTACGGAGAATATGAACTGTTTACTTGCTCCTTTAATATGAACCAATTCTTGAGGTTCATAGGCAAATAGGGTGCAGGGAAGGAGGAGGGTTCAGAAGTATAAGAGAACAACTTACATGGAGCTGGTGACCAAACCAGAGGATTACCTCTATGCCCGATATAAATAGTGACCTACTTAAATTGCAAATTCACATTTTCATGGATGCTGTTTTTTGCAGTTGTCTCCAGAAAAAATGGCATTGGCTGCGATTTCCCATGGAATCAACCCCTACCTTTCCCCCGCCAAATGCTTACCAGAATACAAAGAAAGCGCAGCAATCACTGCAGCCAGAGAGCAGGATTTGAGAGAGCGCTACTGAGAAGCTGAGCTGGTGACATAGACTAAGTGAGAGCACCAGTCAGGAAAGAAAATATTTCAGCGCCACCTTTTAAGAAGCTAGATGCAATGCAGCAGTGCTGCAGTCTGAAGATGAGCTAAAAGAAATCCAAAAAAAACAAAATACATTTCAGGATCATGTAACACAATTCCCTGTAGGAACCCTACATTCAGATGGTGGTAAACCATTTTGTTCATCTTGCAACTTGACTCTGAATGACTCTAAAGGAAAAAGAGCACTGATCAGCATTTAGGGTTCAAATAGCGTATAAAGCAAAAGCCTTCTGCAGGGGCTGAAGTTCATGGCACGAAATAAGCAACACTGTCCTTGATGTTTAAAAGAACCACTGAAAGCAGCTTAAACAAGAAGAGAAGCTACATTCAAGCTAGTAGAGGCATTCATGGCTACCAAAATATCTCTGAACTAGAGCAACAGTTCCCAAACTCTGACAGATTATGCACCACCAATTTCAAATGATATAACCTTAAGTACCACCCACACATTTTTGTCATATAATTATAATAAATTTGTTAATGCGTACCACTGACAGGTTGTCTGCATACCTGATGCTCTAGAGGAAAGTGATAACCTGAAATTAAGGAACTACTTGACTACTTGAACAGCCACATGTCAAATGCTGTTAGCTTCCCTTTTGTGAAAAAAGCTTCACCAGGATTATCTACCAGGAGTAATTGCTTTGCATCTTCAGTCTACAAAATTTGCATTAGCAGAATATGAATCCTTTTTGATTGTAGCAGAGGAAGCAACAGATGTCCAGGATAACTATGTTGTCTACATTTTATTTGTACCCGGGAACAGGAAAGACTGTGACCTGCCTGTCTTCTGAACAGAGCCAGTTCAACTCGTGTGTAAAGTTTTGAGTTGTAGCACAAGTTGTAGTGAAGGTTGTTGTAAGCTACAGCTCAGAATTTAACAAGAACTCAGCACTTCTTTCTGATAATGCAATGTATATGTGCAAAGCTTTCTCTGATGTGCTCCACGGAATGACGCCCAACACAATTCATGTCAACTGCAATACAGGCATTCTTTCTTCAGTAATCGACATCTGGCGTGCATGTTTTCCTGATGTGGATAGACTAGTTTCCTCTTCTAAAAAAGCATTTAAACGCTGTCTGGACCATAAGCTTCAATACAGGAAGTCTACTGCCAATCAAAGTGGGGACCTAAATGCAACAGACATTTTAATTACCCAGACATCTGCTGGGAGGAGCAGTCAGCCGGGACGGACCGCTCCAAGAGGTTTCTGGCTGAGATGCAGGACCTCCACTTGATTCAGGAGGTGCACAGTCCCACCAGAGGTGATGCCCTGTTGGACCTGGTCCTGGCCGCAGGTGACGACCTGGTAAGGGGCCTCCAGGTTCTTGACCACCTGGGCAATAGTGATCATCGCTTGCTGGAATTCGCCATCCAGCGTAGGGTGTCAAGGGCCCGCAGCAAGGCGGTAGCCCTAGACTTCAGGAGGGCCAACTT